TTAAAATCTATTTACATGTTTCCTGACATATCGCTCGAGACTTACTGATATAAAAATTATAATTAAAAACTGGATGTATCTCTATCTGTAGGGACAAATACAGGTTGCGCTGTGGAGGATGAGAGGATGGCAGTCCTCTCTTAGGTCCTGTATGCCCCCCGGTGCAGCACCGCATCAGGGTCCATCTGTTGAAACCCAGGAACCACCAGTGCGGAGGGACTAACACAGCAGTGGTAATTAGCCACAGGATGCAAACAGCTACCATCAAACAGATGTGGGGGAAGTCGACACATTGTTAACTGGTTTGATGGGGGGTGGATGGGGGAGGTGACCTACTTTAAATCATGTGAACCAACACCTCAAAATGGGAAAGCTGCTATCCACACCATGAAACAAACTAACAAAAATTGCTCACTGATGTCTTGTCAGGGTTTAAGACCAAATCGCTACAAGCCAACCAGGGTCAGGTTCATCATTTTTCGGTAACTTTCACACAATAGGACCATGAACTTGCGACCACTAATCACATGGACAATCCCTCGGGAGCAACTTGGAGATAAGTGTTATGAAGGTACATGAGCAGATGCAATTGTACTTCTGTGGCAGAGAAGAACTACTGTGTCGTGAACAATTTGGTCCGCCTGTTGAGTTCAGTATACACAGAACACCAGTGGGTAGTGATTTTTTTAAAGCTTTTTCAAACATTAAATTACAATAAGTATATAAAATGTCTAGCTAAGCATTTATGTAAGGTAAGCTAGCAGGCTAATCGGCTGGTGGTATGCTAAGCTAGTATGCATGGAAGTTAGCTTGCAAAACCTAAGCTAACTTAAAAACACACAAAGAACAAGGAATTTCACAATTAAAAAAAAATCGTAAAGCTGTTCATCATATAAAGCGATTGTATCTCTTCACAAGACTTGAATTAAATCACATGATTCAAATGGATTCGTTTTACGGTGTCTTCATTTTACGTTTTACAGATTCGTTTTACGGCGCCTAAATCTTAGATTTCAACAAAAATATCTTAATTTGTGTTTTGAAGATGAATGAAAGTCTTATTGGTTTGGAATGACACAATGACATTTTTTATTTTGGGGTAAAAATCAATAAATCAATGCCACAAGGGAATGACTGAATACAACGTGGCCATGATTGAACTAAAACAATGTCAAAAAATGTATTTGTGGGAACAAGTTTAATTTGTGGCCATTGTATCTTGTTTCTTTTCCCTTTCAGTCATGTGCAGAGCTCCGTAATTTGCAGGATTTCTACTCAGGTAATGACTGTTATGGCGGCCCTACCTAAAAAAGTAATATATTTAAAGTACATTTATTTCATACTAGGTATAGTTAAAATCTATTTACATATTTCCTGACATATCGCTCGAGACTTACTGATATAAAAATTATAATTAAACTTTATTTGGAGTACTACTTGTGCACACTTCACATTTCTTAATATTAAGACTGTGTTTTAATGTCACTATTAATGAGGAGTGTATGATTTAAGTACAATTGCAGGGTATTTTTATTAAGCACATAAATATGTAAATGTATTTGTAGTATACTTAGCATAAAAATAAATGTATTTCAAATACATTTTAGTATATTTATTTTTTACTAGGGGGATCAACAGTTTGCTAAGCAAATTAGCTAAATTCAATATGCACAACTTACTTGAATAAGTAAGAATAATTAATGCATATTTAAAAATAATTAGTTTATAATTTTTTGTTATAGCTAACATCATCTAGACTTTTAAATATTAGCACTAAAATGCTAAACTTAAGTACTTGTGTAAACCAAACGCGCTCAGTCAGTGTAGAAACTGGCTTTAAATGGACAACAACCACTGAAAAGGAACCATTAATATCATACCTGAGAAGCTAAATGTAAAGTTCTACTTCTTCTCGCTGCCGTTTCAGCTGATATTCTGCACTGCCACTCGTTGTTTTTGAAAACAGCGCAATGGCGATCATGTCAAGTATACACACTTAGTGAGAGTGCAATGAGTTTGCATGCAGTCTGCAGAGGTTCGCATTACAGTGCCAAACGACACTATAAACAACCAGTACAGTAACACAACCCACATTGCATGTCATGTAAAGCCATGTTAGACGGCCTTAAGAAGAAAGAGGGGGTTGTCAAGACATCCTCGGTCAGCAGGGCAGTGTGCTTATGAACATATGAGCCAGACGGAGACGACCTTCCCCCAAATGACCTCTCAAGACTGCACCACTGCATCACACACACAAGACCACAGACGATGTCATTGTTTCCATGGCATTGATCCCCAGCCTGCAGCTAGCAGAGCGCGGCTCTTTAGATCCACTTGGTTGCATGTCTGCACGCCGCAGTGGCCGCGCTGAGACGGATCTGCGAGGCCATGTCGTGTAAAACTGCTTCAGCTTGACAACAAACACGCTAATTGGTCCCTGTTCCTGGCCTCTGTAGACGGAGAGAGAGAGAGAGGCTGAGGAAACACATCCTGGAGGTGGGGTGAGCGGGAAAGAGGCTCTCGCTTATAGTAGCACATGGAGAGTTTTGATGTGGGAAGTCACGGAGACCTCTCAATGAGCTTTCCGCACACACATAATGCTCAACAACAAAGTGAGTGAAGCGTACTAGTCCTTTTCTCACGTCTTACTACTTTCCATACTCATATACGCAAAGACTTGCTTCTCTAGTTCATACGCACACTTTCACTCACTCTCTGGGGAAACGTGACCTGGGGCTGTGCAGTCAGGAAGCACACGTGTTAAAACCAGCTCCCTCTTGGCGCAGCTGAGTCACGCTGAAGTGTAAGGCATCATGGGGAGGAAGCAGCAGCAGCTGGTGTGTGGTGCCTGTCAAATGCGCTGCTTTAGAGTGAATCACTCCCTATCATCCTCTGCAATGGACTACTCTAGATCTTGCTCTCTCTCCCTTTGACAAGTGCTTTTCTCACTTTTCTGTTTGTCTGTCTCTTTCTCCAGCTCTTTTATTACCTTGCAAACACGTCTAAAATCCCACCTCTGTGATCTCACAATTATTTTCTCAAGACATGATGCATATAGGACTGTAGCGTTATACAAAAAAAGGAAAATGTGGTTATTTTATTTCACTTCCTTTAGAATGGATTCATTTTTTTATTGAATATTGCGGTGTTTTTTTAAATAAATGTTTTAGGGCTGGGCAATAAAGCTCAAAGTATACTTCAGCCGCCCACGTTCCGCAACGTTTTGCACACTGTCCGCGTGAAGTAATTTTAGAAATCAGTAGGGTCCACGGACATCTGAGCTCACTGTGTGTGTGCTGCCTAATTTTTGCGCATACAACAGCACATGCACAAGGAGAATGTTGTTGAGACAGGAGAGTCCACTAGGTGTCAAACTTGTCCATTTGTGCTCATCCGTGTTTGAATAAACGATGCGGACACAGCTGTGCACGAGACGGAGCAGAATGCGGAAAATGAAAAATGTGGTTATTTTATTTCACTTCCTTTAGAATGGATTCATTTTTTTATTGAATATTGCGGTGTTTTTTTAAATAAATGTTTTAGGGCTGGGCAATAAAGCTCAAAGTATACTTCAGCCGCCCACGTTCCGCAACGTTTTGCACACTGTCCGCGTGAAGTAATTTTAGAAATCAGTAGGGTCCACGGACATCTGAGCTCACTGTGTGTGTGCTGCCTAATTTTTGCGCATACAACAGCACATGCACAAGGAGAATGTTGTTGAGACAGGAGAGTCCACTAGGTGTCAAACTTGTCCATTTGTGCTCATCCGTGTTTGAATAAACGATGCGGACACAGCTGTGCACGAGACTGAGCAGAATGCGGAAAATGAATCAAAATTTCACTTTTATGTCGGCTTTAAGGTTGTCAATATTAGGAGTGGGAATCTCACACAATTTCGATTATTAAGTCTGATTCATGGAGTCACCTAAAAGATTCATGATACATATACATTTTTGTTATTGATTATTTAGCAGTACAAAGACAAAACAGTCACTACACATTTTGTCAAATTCAATTCGTTTGTCGGATTTGTTTTATGTTCAGTTCAAAATCATTAATAAAAGAATTTGTATGCATTGACTAATTGATTTTTTTTTAACCAATCTCTGATTAGGATGAGAAAATGAAAAAGCATTTATTTTTTTGGTGCTGTGGTTTCGTGTCTGACATGCGAGTTACACAAGTTCATGTCTGGCTCGCAACACTACCATGTTCAGCCACCTTCTCCCCAAATTTTCCTACCCTATCTCTACATTCTTATCAATAAAGCATTTTTTCCACAAATAAATTCCCATCTTTGTGGTGCTGAGTCCATTTCAACTGCATTTAAACACAAAAGTGTACACGAAGTGGAAGTGACAGAATACTTTTTAGACCTGAACTTTTTCAGTCCCCTTGTATTGTAGAGTTGAAATAAAGATTGGACCAGCGGCCCAAAACGGCAATCAATGGGTTTATTTTGGCAGAGGACTGCTCAGCATAAAAAGCGCATTGACTGAGCAACATGAAAAGGAATTGACCCTTTTCCTTCTGCCCAGAACACATGAGTGAGTGGAATGGACAGCAGCAGGTCAGAGAGAGAGAGAAAGTGCAAAATAAAGAGGGAGTGAAACAAGGAAAGAACGAAAGAAAGACTAAATTCACAGACAAACACAAGCAAATATAAACGACCGCTGGATTTTATGATGACCTGACAGCATTTTACATAATTTTACATAATGTATAGACATATTTCTGATGTGAATATACAAACTTTAGCTTATTCTATAACCTCAGTAGTACCGTTGCATTAAGGGTCTTCTACTGTACATATGACCTTAGCAATGTATCGAGAAAAAATAAACAGAATGCAAAGCACACACATCTCTCTCACACACACCCACTCACTCAATCCTCTGGCCTTTGAGTTTCCTCAACAGCACTCATGAATTCAAGCCTGAAAATACACACACACACACACACACACATATGAGTGCACGCACCAAAATACATCTGCTGACCTGAGAGCTTCATAAGCAGTTCAGAGGCCACTTTGACGTTGATGTCCTGGCTAAGTAGGCTGCTCTTGCCCAACATTGGGCTCCCCTCCTCTCGTGGCTTGGTGGACCCTGGAGGTCCTTCTTGGCAGAAGCTATAGCTTGGTCCCCTCTGAGAGCTGAGGGGCTCTTCCGCCTGGGGCTCCTCTTTGACACAGAATGGACCCTTTAGGGCCTCCTTCTGGTTCGCTGCTGTGGGGCAAGAAAAAGACAAGCAAAAGTTTTGAGAACTATGTCCTGAAGCCCATGTTTTTGTTGACAGCAACATGGAATGTGAAGATGTGACTATATTCCATGCCTTCTTAAGTCATATGATAGGTTTGTTTGAGGAACAGACCAAAAATTTGTGTTCTGCAGAAGAAATAAAACCATATGGTTTGGAACGACTTAACTGCAAGTAGAATATGACAGAAATGTCCTTTTTAGGTGAACTAACTCTTTAAAATAAGATATCCAAATATTATGGGTAGTTAGTTACTTAGTTAGTTGTGGCTTGTTAGTTAGTTTAGTTAAGTCAGCATCAATGCAGAAGATAATTTGGGGGATTTTGTATTTGCTTCTTTTAATAATTATTTGTTTAGCAGTCTAGCTTTGGCTCCATATTAAAAGAAAGGAAACCTTTTGAGAAGACAAGATAAATAGATTAGGAATCAATAGGCTAAATTGTCTTTTCAAATTTGGAGGACATGATGAGCCTTCTGTACTGGACCGAAAGCCCAGTGGAAACAATTTCACAAGCAGTTTTATGGAAAATATGGACTGTGTTGTTTCTGAATCATCAAACCGTGTGAGCATCTAAAAGTGTGTTTATGCTGACTGTTTGTAATTGCACAGAAAATGATTGGTGATGATATATTTCTGCTGAATTCAGATGAGAGTAAGACACATTTCTTTTCTCACTCAATACGCTGTAAAAGTGGGCCATTTCTAATCAGGCTTCAATGAATAATTAATATTAAGACATGGAGCCCCTTCTTATCCATGCCAGGAACAGAACACCGGCCACTGGTTCTTTTTGACACACACGTTTGTTTTCTGTGATGGTTATGACTTTGTTTTTATACTTATCTAATGATATTTTCTTTCCCCTAATAGTATTGCTAACCCTTTTGCATTTTAAGATTCAAAAAAAAAAAACACACACACACCGTTTTAAAATAATTGTGGTCAGTAAGATTGTTAAATGTTATTGAAGCAGTCTCTTATGCTCACCATTTATTTAATCAAATTTACAGTAAAGACAGCAATATTGTGCAATTTAATTATCAATTAAATGCTGAAGTAAGTATTAATTTCTTTCAAGTGTTTGAACGATAGTGTACATAAGGTTGGGTTTGGGGGGATAAACTGAATGAATTAAGCACATCTATTACGCAAAATAAAGGTACAATCAATCAGTCAAAGATCCAGATCAAATGAGTTTAAGTGAAGGGTTACAGTACAAATGTACATATTGATGATCCAGAAAGTGTTAATGGTGCATTGAAAAAGGTGAAAGTGCACAATGGATCAGACGGGAAGCTTCGTGTTCTTTTGAATTTGCTATCTAACTAGGTGTGCAGATTCCTTTTTGCTTTTGTTTTAGATTTTAATTAAAACATGATTTAGTAAGTTCATTAAACTGTTCTTCTTGTGGATATTGCTGGCTGGTACCCACAATGCAGGTGATTTCAGGTTTTAATAACCTTTTAGGAACATTTGTTCCCCACAATGTAGGTAAAACCTGAACCAGAACTATAAACACACCTCGCACCATACATGCGCTATAAAAGCCGGACCTTCTTCTCTTTATTTACCAACATAACACACAATGACATGAAACTGCCACAAAAAAAATATATATATATTTTATTTACTTGCTCAATAATTGATTTCTGGTCATTTTCAAGTGGACAACTTTTTTAATCAAAATGTCATAACTCAATCTTCCGATGAAACAACTTCTCTCTGGTGACACATGTCAGATTTCACCAATCTGTGACGAGTGGGGGCGGGGCCGAGAGCCGTGGGAACGGAGCGAGGCCGGTGGAGTAATTGATAATGAGCGACACCTGCACCACTCACCGGTCTCGAGTCCCACGGAGGAGCTCCGGAAGGATAAAAGGAGTGACGACAGTGAAAGACGAGAGAGGACCAGGCCTGGATTGTATTTTGTGTTTTTGTATTTTATTATTAAAGTTTTGTTTAAGTGTTCGCCGGTTCCCGCCTCCTCCTTCCCGTGACTACGAACTGTGCCGAAACCCGGGAGGAAGGAGGGACACGCTGTCAGAGAGCCCTCGCTGCTGAGGGGGATCGCGGTGCTGAGGAGATCGGGCAGCAGGAACAAGCGGAGAGACCGCTGGTGGCTGCCCGAGGCGGTGGTGCTGGAACGATGGAAGATGAGGTGGGACGGAGAGCTCGCTGCCGCGCTCCTGGGTCGAGGAGGGGTGGCTGCCGTCCGAGAGGGAGCGGAGGAGTCGGCCCCGTTCGCCAGGAGGCTGGAGCCTGCTGCCATCCGCCATGATTGGGGAGGAGCAGGGAACGGGGGACTCGCTGCCGGCTGCCCTCAACAGGAGGAGCCATCGCCGTCCGCCAGGAGGCGGAGGAGCGGTGGGCCGTCCACCAACGATGTCCAGTACCATCGCATGGCACCGCGAGTGAGAGCCTCTCAGCCGGTTGAGGACCAAGCGGCAGTGTGTCCGGGAACCGGACCGATAATTTTTTTTCTTTTTTTTCCCTCTCTCCCCTCTCTCGTATCTGTCTCACCTCATCCTTCCGTCTCCTTTTCTCTCGCCTCGTCTGTCTGTCCTTACCCGACCAAGCGGCAGTGTGTCCGGGAACCGGACCGATCATTTTAATTTATTTTTTTCCTCTCTCCACTCTCTCGTATCTGTCTCTCCTCATTCTTCCGTCTCCTTCCGTCGAGGGGCGATGGGGGTATGTGACGAGTGGGGGCAGGGCCGAGAGCTGTGGGAACGGAGCGAGGCCAGTGGAGTAATTGATGATGAGCGACACCTGCACCACTCACCGGTCTCGAGTCCCACGGAGGAGCTCCGGAAGTATAAAAGGAGGAGTTACGACAGTGAAAGACGAGAGAGGACCAGGCCTGGATTTTATTTTGTGTTTGGTGTGCGGCAGTCATCCGCGAGGGGCTGCCGCTTTACTTTAATTTTGTGTTTATTTTATTAAAGTCTTAAGTGTTCGCCAGTTCCCGCCTCCTTCTTCCCATGACTACGAACGTTGTTGCATAATCATTAAAAGAAGTCCACTTAAAACCGCCCCTTTCTTACAACTGACCTCAAAATCCATCCAACCAACCAACAAATAAACATTTTATTTTCTTTTGATAATCCATTTCGCTAAGAATATACATCACAATATGGAAGAAAAATCTCTTGCTACTTCTGTTTCATTGTGACTTTAAGAAACAGAGCCTATTCACAAAACGTGATGATGCATTTTCAAATTATTAACATCGTACATCTAGCAAATTTTTTATATTGTCATTTTTAAACATTTTATGTACATTTTTATGTACTATACTTTGTGTTTTATTACCTTTTTTTTCTTTCTTTTAAAGTAATAGAAATGCTAGCTTTTTTCTTTTGCTCTTGGAGAAAATGGGAAAGTAAAATGATAAAAAATGACCACTATAGAAGTTTACCCACTTATGGTGACTTCTGCCTTTGAAATCCCCGTAAATGTGAAAAGGGTCCATCTTTTAACTACTCCTTGTGGAGTTGATTTCAGGTTTTACTATCATTGTGGGGACATTCACTCCAAACACACCTTTTCCATTTTTTAAAATCTTTCATTAACACACACTCTACATTTACTGTAGGCCTACAAGCTTTGACATACATTCACAATGTCAAAATTGCTCTACCTATCTCAGATCTCCATATCACACTTCCTCTCCTGTTCAGTCAGTCTTTTCTACGCAAGTGCCTGCCCATCCTCTTCCCTCCCTCCCTCTCTCACTGTTCCTCCTTTCATCTCTCTTACAGATCATCAGTGATCACTCACCCCTCCTGTCTCTACCACACTCCCCTCAGCAGTCATCTGATCTCCTCACCACCCCAAATCTGAGTACATGCACCATCCACAACGGCGCTGACTCTTCTCATCAATCTACATGAGCTGATCACCGCCTCACTCCGATGACTCTGATTAATGGTGACGTGCATCCGCGACAGCACCGAAGGTACAGTCAGGTTAGGGGACAGGACACGACTACGAGCGAAAGATCGTAGAGAGCCATTGGGAGAGTTTATGACCTTCACGTGGAGAGTGCAGGCGGTGAACGAGGTGGCGGCGGGGGTGGTGAATGTGGTGGCACCGGCTGGAAATGTCACCAGTCAGATGTCAGAGGACGGACTTAGCGTGGTCCGGTCAGCACCTGGAAGGGCATCCTCTAATTAAGAGCGTGTCGGGTCGCGTGTCCTATCAGGCAGGGACAGGGTGTACGGCACGCGCATAAGCGCCCTCTCTTTCGAAGACATGTAGAAAAGTACAAGCCGGAGATGTGAGCGTGGAGAAACAAAGTCACACCACTCTGGTGACCTTTCGGTTTGCAGCTAAAAATAGAGCAAAATTTCCATTCGAATTCATGTTACAGAGAGCACTGAATAATTTATCAGCTTAATCCGCTAGCCAAGTTTTTTTTTTTTTTTCCCTCATAAGGCATGAATGTCTCCAAAATACCAAAATTAAGCTCAATGAAAATTAGCACTTTCTATTTACCGACTGTTTTAATAGACTTTCATAATGGAGTAATCCCAAGTGCCTATCTTGATCTTTCAAATTCTCTCCTGTCATCAAATCATCTTTGACATAATGTTTTCTACCGTGGAGGTCTTATGTGGAAGCTGCCATCTTTCTAGCTCCATTTACACAGTCAGTGTTCAGGATTGGCAAAAGCATTTCCAAACAAACAGGTGTGACTCTTAAATTGTGCTGGTCATATAAAAGCACACAGAACCGCTTCTGTGTGCTTTTATATGACCAGCACAATTTAAGAGTTGTGCTAAAATACTGCATGTATGAACAAATAACTGCAGTCATGCCCCTGTGAATATGCATGTAACCATAGCAACAGTGACTAAATGATGTATCATACAGAGTATGTGAACGGAGTGGAGCGGCAACAATTTCCCCTCCGCGCTCCGAGCATTTAATAATCACTCCGCTCCAACTCCACTCCGGGTTCACCA